TCATTTTCCAAGGTCAAGTTTTGTTTCACATTGCACTTACTTCTCATGCGCATCCTTTACAGGACGTTGCAGAACCAGCCCCCCCCCCCCCCCTGCATTTTTTGGGTGCTGTAGTGGTTTTTCTTGGCAAATTTACGTGCAGTAATTTGTTTCCAATGAACGGTCGGCTCCCTATACAACTGACTGAACCAACGAAAAGCGGCCTGCAGCTTGGATCGAACCCGGCATTACCAAGCGCGTTCGCAACCCCCTAAGCTATAGTCGACGAGAGTGGCAAAAGAAAATTAGTTGTAAATTAGCATTTTCTACAAAACCCATTTCACTTTCGCAATAACAGGTGGTTTTCAGTGGCACCTGTCTTCTTTGGAATGCGCCTGCTCCCGATTTGTTTACAAACTAACATACGGTGGGATCGGCAGTCTAAAATTAGAAGCTTAAAAAAAGCCAGCATTGATGAAATAGACATAAATTGATTTCTAGGAAAGGATACTCGAAACGGTGAAGAATTCTATTCTTTTGTTAAGCAATAATCTCTGCGAAATTTGAAATGATACTTAGAATCCGCTATCAGTACTATCATTTATAAGACCTAGTATATGCAAGTGAAAGACACTGTGGGGAAAAAATAGACGCTGCTATACATGAAGTAATTACATTTCTGTTTAGAAACTGGAAGAGGCAGATGGTGCGACAAATATAGACATGGCAAATTAAAGCTGGACAAAAAATTTAGGTTATGTCAGCCGGATGATAGGACAGCTTGAGATGAGGTAGATTTGGTATATTAGGGAAAAGAAACCTTACCAACTTTGCAGAGGATTTGATTTGATTAAGGAACCGACACCATAGCACTCGGAGCATTTCCATAAGCGAACCCGTCCCCATCTTCAACAGCCAGTGAAGAGTGCCGATACTAATGGTGCCAGTAGCATTCTGATTAAACGTCCGTCTTGCCTTTCCTCTGAGCCTCGAGCATCTGCCAGAACCTTTCGTCACTCCCCGCTGCATCAATCTTACCAGATTGTGGTGAATCATCTGCTCTTCCGAACTGTACACGCTCTCCCACAAGGCACTAACCACGTCTGCCATATCATGTATAAGTATTCCACAAAGTTGTGCAGAGCCAGCCAGTCTGTCCGCCTGTTCATTTCCCAACAAACCGGCATACCCCGGTGAAAAAAATCCAGACAATACTCCTCACCCGTGTCCTCCGCAGCGAAGCATACCACTTTGCAGAGGACACTAGATTAACCCCACAGAGACTTGTTTATAGTCGTTATGTCTTTTTACAACCCTGACTGGGCTTCCGCTCACTTACCATGTAACCGTCAGGGGCCCGAGTGTAACCTTAAGGTTGAACTGGGATTTGTACATGGGGGATTCTTAACTGAATAGTGACACTTTGTACTTCTGTCACCGGGTGTTCATCGTTTACTGTGCGGTTCAACTTCACTTGAGACGTGTTTCACTTTGTTTCACATATTCGTATTTTCCTTCCTTTGTCTTATAGGCGTCTGTGGCTTCGCAATGCAGAGGTGCCGGGTTCGATCACAGCTGCGGGCCTTGCGTTGGTTTGGACAGTGACATCGAGAAGCGCTGAGTGGCACCACACACACACAAACCAAAGAAAAATCACAATAGCCAAAAAAAAAAAAAAACGCTGGGGTTGGTTCTGCAACGTCCTGTAAAGTATACGCAAATAACTTTTGCTCTTATCACAAGTTCCCACAAGCTTTAAGTAAATAACATCACAATACAGATTTTTAAAAATCTCTTAACCAAGTAGCAACGATTTGTTTATACAACAATATTAAAATTGTATTGTCTGAAATAATGCCTGGATAGCTTATTACCAAAAATAGATCAATTCAACATAATAATAAAGAGAAATCAAAGAACAGTCTTCCATATATACAAATGTTTTCTGTTTTTATCATAACCGATGGCCTTCTCTTTCCAGTTGGTAACACCAAGTGTTTGTAAGTCTCTGGATATTATCTCTCCATCGTCTTCTTGGTCTGGACCACTCAACTCCTCTGTGTACGTAGTTTTTACCTCTCTGTCATGCGGTTCTCTCAATATGCCACAGGCATTTCAGTTAGCCCCCATGATACCAGTGATCAATTAGGGCTCTATAGTTAGCCGTTAGTCAATAGTAATTTAAACAGATTATGAATAGGAAAAACATAAAGATCGCAATTATAACCAGAAAGCTTATTCAAGCTGGCTGAAAGCGATCGTATTTTTTTTTCTTTAAACAACCAATCATTATCTGGATAACTTCGTCACTGTTTCAATCTTTCTCTGAGAAGAGTCATTGCTTGCTGAGGTATTAAATTCTGCCACCCCTCCCCCCTTTCCCCCCCCCCGTCTGCTATAAGTATAACTTCCTCTAAGGCTGAAGGTGAAATCTGCGATTTGCTCAGGTGGAATGGTTTGGCCATGTAAACGCGGATTTCATCAGACAGTATACCACAGCAAGCAATGATGTACAGACCAGATGCAAGACGTGGACAGGGGGAATAACAGTCCCTGGGAATCCCCATTTACAAAGCCCACAAACGGGCGTTTTCCTGCAAATTAAACTTCAACTCGACACCGCCAGGTACAAGAAGATCGAGATGAGATGAGACAAAAAAGTGTTTGTTCTATTCTCGAGCTAATTCGTAACGTTTTTTTTTTCCCCTTGTCTATACTGCTCACAAAAAAAAAAAAAAAAAAAGTGACGCATAGTTACTGAAAGAAACACACATACTCACAACTGTGACATTCTGCAACTATGTTTAGAGTGAGCAAAAAGAAGACAAAGGTTATGGTGCAAGGTGTTGATGAAAGACCTACAGTCTACATTGACGGTGAAGAGCTGGAGACCGAAGGCTCTTTTTTTTCTGGGTTCCACAGTGAGCAAAAACTATCGCTGGACCAATAAATCAACATCAGGATAGGTAAGGCGGCAACAACAATGAGCAGATTAGCAAAAAGGGTTCGGGAGATCAGAAAGACCACAACTAAAACAAAAACTATTGTCTATCAAACTTGTGTTCTCTGCACTCTGCTTTATGGCAGTGAAACTTGGTCAACTTATTCACACCAATAGCTTTCACATGCGATGCCTAAAAAGAATAGCTGGCATTAAGTGGCAGGACAAAATCACAAGCACTGAGGTACTGGAAAGAGCAGGTGCTACAACAGTCTTCTCAAGGCTCAGTCTATGAAAGCTCAGGTGACTGGGTCATACCTGTAGAATGGAGGATGGCAGAGTCTCTAAGGACATCCTTTGTGGTGAATTAAATACTGGTAGAAGGTGTGTGGCCGACCTCTACTGCGGTATAAAGACGTGTGCAAGCGGGACATGAATGATACAGGTATTGAGTTGGACTCATGGGAACAAAATGCCATGGACCGTGTTGTGTGGAGAGGACATATCAGGAAGGGTATGCAAGTGAAAGAAGAAATGATCCCAGAGAGGATGAGAGCTGAGCGTCTGGGAAGAAACGGATTAAACACAAATGTCGACAACAATGGTCCTTGACACGGGCGGGTATTGCTAGTCACACTCGCCATCGCCATGGGCTGTGAGTCCAATGCCTCCTCATAGCGCAATATAACACTATCGTCTGAAAAGACGAAAGGGTGCCAATGATTACTGTCTGACATATTTCGCGGTATCTCGTCAGGTGCAAACTACAGTAAAAAATTAATCAAATGAAGCAAATAAGTGAATATTTTATAACTGAAGTACAAATTCAGTCGTCGGCTCTGTGGCTAAGTTGATGCGAACGCTTCGTAATGTCGGGATGCCGGGTTCGATCCCAGCTGCGGGCCATGCGCCTTGCGCTCGTTTCGACAGTGGTATCAAGAAAGACGACCGTCCAGGAAGCAATGGCAAATTACTGGACGTAAATTTGCCTAGAAAAACCTAGGTTAGTTCTGCAACGTCCTGTAAAGGGATACGCAACTAACCATACAAATTCAGTCACTCTCACAAGTAACTGACTGCTCTTATTAGGGTAACCGCAAGGTCACAGCCATGTCTTTCTGTTTACAAAATTCAAAAATCCTATGTTACAAAATTACAATTTTCAGCAAATATGACACTGACTGCTGCTCTTTGATTAGAATATGTTACAAAATGCCACAACATATACTATGTTTTATGCGGTCTAGCGAAACCCGGATCTGCATATTTGTGAATTCGTATATGATTAATTCTCATTTCAGAGATATTAATTCCGCAAACAGCAGTCCTGAACGAGAAAAACGACACACCCTACCCGTTAAATGATTTGGCAGACATATTTGGCGGCCCATCTAGACTTGTCCGTGACCCTCCCCACTTGGGTTGAAGAACATTTGTCTGGAAGACAATCCAGAAATAACCTGGAATAGTTTAATATATTATATAATATTACTGGTGGGCGATATGACACACTGAGCAACAACATCAAGTTATTTCTTCCTGAAATGAACGCTGCCCCAGTAACTGTCGTTTATAACTTTCTCTCTAGTACAAATCAAATATAAAATTCAAGCCTGTATAATCAGAATATCTCGTAAAGACATCAATAAAATAACCATGACCGAACGAGTAGAAGAAAAACTCAAGGGGACGACAGGTTGATAAATTATAGAACCGCTGACTGACCTATAGATAGCAGGGCTGCCAATTCTTGGGTTTTCCCCCCAGATCTGGGTTTTTATTTGACGCCTCAGGGAAATCTGGGTTTTTAAACAAATATATCCCTATATAAAAGTGGTAAATTTTTCGTTTCGTAACTTTATATTTTGTACATTTTTAACAATCTGGGTTTTTTATTTTGTTTTCTTGTTCTTTGTCTATGTATTGCTTGGGTTTTTCAAAAAAATCCAATTGGCAGCCCTGAATTAGACAGTGATAAACTATCATGGCCGCCAATGTCTGGAGTGTTCTGGGTGCAAATTCTGTTTCTGCTGACACTCTGGTGATATCAGCAACAGTTTTAGTACTTGTTGTGTCAACAATGTTTATGCTGCGCAAAATCTTCAACATTCGTTCATCTTCCAAGAAATCAAAGAAGGACAAAGCTCAAACAGACCATACTTATTCTTGCCTGGACAATGCCTCGGCTGGTAACGATGGCGACGACGCAGAACTCAGTGATGGTCAAGACACTCAAGGCGAAGAATCGCGACCAGCAGAAAGTAAGAGCTGAATGAAACCAGTCACCTTCTTTCTGTACAGCTTTGAACATACGAGACCAAGCACAGGGTTTTATATGTTTTTCTTACTGTTTGTTGTTGCATTGTTGTTAGCATACATTTAGAATTTCGGCTTCCTTCTGCTAAGCTCGGAATACTAAAATAATACAAAATGGCTAAGTTGAAGAACGACATTTATTGCAACACTATTCACTAATGCATTGAATCCATATTCCATCGATATGGATGATAGATTGGGCTTTTGGCTGAAAATAACATATTTTTCAGAGATACCGAATTGGCTGTATGATTTAACTTTAAGTCTGTTTCTTCTTTTCACTGAATTTTGTCATGATTAAAAAATTTGGTTCTCCTTTAAACTACGGCCACTTATTATGGAGTACGCCGGCGTTCAGTCCCCTGGCCGCATTGCAAATACAGAGTGGACAAGAGGGAACGACACAAATGACCTAATTACTGTGTGTTGGCGATAGATGCACTGCTGTCATAATAGGGTTAGGGTTAGCTGTAGTTTTAAGGAGTACCAATACCCTAACCCTAACCCACAACCTAACCTTAACCCTATTATGACAGCAGTGCATCTATCGCCAACACACAGTAATTACCTCATCGGTTCACGCTGTCTATCGCCAACACATAGTAATTACGTCATTAGTGTCGTTCCCTCTTGTCCACTCCGTAATTGCAATGCGGCCAGAGGACTGAACTCCGGCGTACTCAATAATAAGTGGACGTAGTTTTAAGGAGAGCCAAAAATTTTAGTTTGCTTTTGTGTCTTAAATTTTTGTAGTGTGTCTTCCGATCTCCACTTCTTTTATTTACTTTTCACCAGTGCTTATCAACACATATGTACTTCAAGTTGCTCAACAGTTAATATTTAAAAATTGAATATAATTTTCTCGCCTGTTATTAAAATTATGAACAGGAAGAGGAAGCTGAAGTAAGCGGCGACAGTAGGAACATCAGAGGGAAAGAGAAGCAGGGAAAGACTGCAGAGGGACAGCTTGACGTGACCATTTCATTTTCGGATCATATCGTCATTTGTTAATTGTGATCAGGACAAAGATCATCATATAGCAAGCTCTTTGCAGATCATATTATCTAGCTTGGAACACTCAGTCCTTTCCCACTTCATGCATTTTTATGTTTAGTGTAGCTCTACTATCCACGTTTATGCTGTTTGTCCCAGAATTTCACCTTAGTGCTGTTTGTCTTTGATGTCGACCTTTGTGCTGTTTGACTCTGATGTCCACTTTGATATAATGTTTGTCCCTCACAACCACTGTTTCCACCAATGTTCTGCTTTTTTGCTGTTTGTCCCCGATGCCCACCTATGTCCTAAATGTCCACCTTTATGCTGTTTGTCCCTAATGATCACCTTCACACTGTTTGCTCCTAATGATCACCTTTGTGCTGTTTGTAGCAAATGTCTACTTTTGTGCTGTCTGTCCCTAATGTCTAGCTTTCTTCTGTTTATTCCTAATGTCCACTTTTGTTCTGTGTCCTTTCTGTACATCTTTGTACTGTTTGTCCCTAATATCTAGCTTCATGCTATTTGTCTCCAGCTTTGTGCTGGTTCATCACTGTCCCTTCTTCCGGGAACTAGGTCTTCCAGTAACCATCTTTCTAAACAATTACAGTTGGTCAATGTATTTTAGTTTATGAGTCATAATGCGGCTTACTTAACAATTTTCTTTGATCACTGTCATCATTACAGTAGGCTATCATGTCAGGCCATCTAGGTATTTATCTCTTTGCATTCCTCTTACTCTTTTTCCATCAATCTTGCCAGTTGTTAACTGAGTTCTCGAGTCCATCCCTTCTCATATGTCACCCCTTCCCCCCCCCCCCCCCCCCCCCCCCCCAAAAAAAAAGAACACATTGACTGTTTACGGCTAATTGTTCTAATACATTTAAGACCTTTCATCTGTCTTCTTGAGGACTGCTGCTGCGTTTTTATTTTTATTTTCTTCCATGATATTCTTTGCATTAGTTTCTGAAAACACATCTCTGCCACAAGTGAATGTTTTTCAGCTTTTCTTGGATATCCTGCACAATTAGTAGTTTTTATATACCTCCAGTCTCACTGAGTTCTCAACAACAGCAGTCATTTTTAAAAATATAAAAATATATTTAGCAGACTCACTAATGCAGCAGATGAGAAAGTGACTGAAACGACTTTTGTCTTACACACCTGAGAATTCATTAATTGAATGTGTAGTTTTCTAGTTTGACGTTGTTCTAGAAATGTCTGCACAGGAAGTCTGATATTTTGATTGTTGTAGTAATTGAGAGTTGTAGTAATTGAGATTTGTTGTAGTAATTGAGAGTTGTAGTAATTGAGAGTTGTTGTAGTAATTGAGAGTTGTTGTAGTAATTGAGAGTGGCAGTAATTGAGAGTTGCAATTGAGAGTTGTTGTAGTAATTGAGAGTTGTTGTAGTAATTGAGAGCTGTTGTAGTAATTGAGAGTTGTTGTTGTAATTGTGAGTTGTTGTAATTGAGAGTTGTAGTAGTTGAGAGTTGTAATTGAGAGTTGTTGTTGTAATTGAGAGTTGTTGTAATAATTGAGGGTTGTAATTGAGAGGAGTTGTAGTAATTGAGAGTTACAGTAATTGAGAGTTGAAATTGAATGTAGTAATTTGACAGTTTGTAATTGAGTGAAATTAAGAGTTGTAATTGAGAGTTGTTGTAGTAATTGAGAGTTGTAATTGAGAGTTGTAATTGAGAGTTGTTGTAGTAATTGAGAGTTGTTGTAGTAATTGAGAGGTGTGGTAGTAATTAAGAGTGGCAGTAATTGAGAGTTGCAATGGAGAGTTGTTGTAGTAATTGAGAGTTGTTGTAGTAATTGAGAGTTGTTGTTGTAATTGAGAGTTGTTGTAGTAATTGAGAGTTGTTGTAGTAATTGAGAGTTGTTGTTGTAATTGTGAGCTGTTGTATTTGAGAGTTGTTGTAGTAATTGAGAGTTGTTGAAATAATTGAGAGTTGTAATTGAGAGTTGTTGTAGTAATTGAGAGTTGTAATTGAGAGGAGTTGTAGTAATTGAGAGTTGTAGTAATTGAGAGTTGTATTAATTGAGAGTTGTTGAAGTAATTAAGAGTTGTAATTGAGAGTTGTTGTAGTAATTGAGAGTTGTAATTGAGTTGATTGAGAATTGAGAGTTGTCACGGAATTGGACTCATTGATTAAGAGTTGTTGTAATTGAGAGGTGTGGTAGTAATTGAGAGTTGTTGTATATCAGTTGTTGTAAAAATTGAAGAGGTGTGGTAGTAATTGAGAGTTGAACATGAGACTTCTTGCAAGCAAAGCCTTAGGAGCATTCATTACAGTTCCACTACTGAAATGAATCATGGACAGTTAGTAGATGAGTGAAAAAAATTATGTGGAAGCTGTGGAGATGTGCTTTTATAGACGAAGATGAGAATACCCTGGATGGATTAGAAGAGTAATGAAAAAACTAACTCACAAAGAGAACTGAATGCCCACAGCAGAAAGAGACAATCTGCATTCTTTGGTCGTGTCATGAGAAGGAGAAAACTGGAGGACACCGTGACAATAGGAAAGTTGGAAGGGAAGAGAGGCAGAGGGAGACTGAGCGAGAAGATGCTGGGTAATTTTAAATCATGACATGAAGAATCATCGGTCACAGATGATAAAAACTGCAGGAGACAGAAAGTCGTGGATAGACATGACCCCCCCCCCTCCCCCCTCGACGCCGCACGGAATGGACTTTAAAAAGAAGATATCAGAACTGCTTTTGAATATTCATTACTAGAACAGCTATCCCCTCTACAGGTTTTGGGCCCATATTTTTGTGTGAAAAAAAAAGAAAGGGGGGTGGGGGGGGGGGGGGGGGGGGAGAACGGGGCAAATTGCCTTTAAACAAGCATATAAAAGGTGGTTAAACAAGGTTTGCTGAAATCTGATGCACTACTGCATCCTAATGGTAAACCACAGTACAACCCGGCAACCATGCTTTTACGGACAATCACCAAGGAATCAATAGAGAACAGCAACAGTTTCGATAAGAAGTGAATTGCCTAGATTTTCTTATATTTATTATGTATTAAAGAGGTAATTTGAAACCCATTTGTGCTGGAACTGCACATAATTGCTTGCGTAAAACATAATCATGTTTTAGGGATGGGGACAGATACTGGCTAGTGAATAAGAGAGCACATGCTTATCATCCTGTTATGCCAAGTTCTGTTTCTGATAATTGAAAAAATGGCCGGGTTAATCCAAAATCTGTCCAAAGAACTCAGAAAGTGGTGATTCAGTTTCTTTCATTTGAAGGATGTCGACCAGTGGACACTCAACGAAGAATGAAGGCAGCATATGGTTACAAATATGTGTCTCGGACAACAATAACAGACCGGGCTAGAATGTTTAGGAAAAATTGCGAAATGGAACGGGTCAAGCGTATATTGTTGCAATAGAAAAAAACACCATTGCCAGAGTTGATTCAGCAATGCAGGTGTGTTGTGTGCTGAACTCACTTTGTTGTCCAATTGTACCAGTGGTCAGAGGCATGACTTGGGTCTCACAATATCTGTGGACACCGCTGTTACCTGTTAATCTCAAGAAACCTTTGTCTCACTAGTCAAGTAGCATGAACTTTTTGCACTCACCTCTGCCATCATCATCATCAGCCAGCGCCTTGATGACTAGCTTAGCACCTGCCACTGTAATAAAGGTTAACCCATGTCCAGTCAGTGCTTCTAGGTCAGTCTTAGTGTTAGGACATGTTTGTGTATGTGCAATCCCCCTGAATTGCATATAACAGGATGAACACCTGTCAAAGCATAGGTTCATTAGTGAAGAAAATTTTGATGTGTCAGTTAGGACAGTTCAAAATGTTTTTTGGAAAGAAAAAACAACTGCAGTATTGAAAGATGTGTTCACAGTGGGTACCATATAATAAACATGGTAAACACTTGTTCAGTTAGCAGCCACAAAAAATTTTGTTTAATGTGGACCACATTTGCTGCCTACCTAAGCAACTGGATGCTTACCTGAATGCTCAAGTTGAGTTTTTGTGTGACCAAACCATATTGCATAATTCATTCAAATTCTGCCATAACTATTGATAAAAAAAAAAGGTAAAGTCCGGAGATGTGAACCAGCGTCATTGCACACAGTTATAAACCATAAGTGCTGTGCCACCAGTACGGACAGCTGATAAGAATTGTCCACCTGTGTCGCCATTCGCACGTGACTCAGTAGCTACAGCGACGTTCCTCTATTTACTCCAGAGTGTTAACTCTGGTACCCATTTCCTAGAGGCTGGGGGAACCCCGGGAACCGCCCGGTTTCAAACACCGACCGTGACTGCTGCGAGTAAAAGCTGAATTTGAAAGTGAGCCTCTTATCGACTGCGCTAACACGGTCCCCGACACCTATCAATGTTTCTTTCATGCTTTTGTAATAAAGCTATTAGAATGTGTTTCGAATGAATGCTCCTTATATATTCAAGTGAATACACAGCCAGCTGAAGAATTTCACACACAAAAGTTCCAACCTGCTTAAATGGGTTATAATTGAGATGTTATTCTTTGTTAAATATATATTTGTTCAGTCTTTGTGGTTGTTCATTTCTTCCTTGGTTTTAATATGTAACATTTACTTTTGTGTAGTTACAGGGCAAATGTCATCACCTCGTTACCAAGATCCATTAGAGTACTGTGAACACATCCAAGGAGAGTTCAAACGTGTGCAACAATCTGTGGCTACAAAAACAATTGAGAAGTCTCTTACCGAACAGCAGTTGATGGAAGAGAAGGAGATCCAGCGCAAACAACTTGCAGAGATCTTCCGACTAATGCAAGAGCAAGAGGAACGCTTCGGCATCGGTAGCATGGATGATATGAAGGAACAAATGAAACTGTATGCTTTGAGTCAGCAGATTTAAACTTGGAAGCTGTGATCGTGGATTCTCCGGAACAGCTTGCTTCTGACATGTTTACTTTCAGTGTTTTGTTTTTGTAAACTTCTGAATTATAGACATTAATAATTATTGTATATATTTGAACCATTTCTCTCATTTACAGGATTACTGAGTTGAATTATGATCCACATCATAAACATCTTGGAAGATCGAGTTTCATTGTGAATCTACTCATATATGTTGTGGAAATTTTTGTTTGATTGTGAACATTATCATAAACTCATGGAATAGCATGTTTAATTGTGAACCTAATCATAAACATCTTGGAATATTGATTAATTAAGAATCTCATCATAAACATCTTGGAATATTGATTAATTAAGAATCTAATCATAAACATCTTGGAATATTGATTAATTATGAATCTAATCATAAACATCTTGGAATATTGATTAATTATGAATCTAATCATAAACATTGTGGAATATTGATTAATTAAGAATCTCATCATAAACATCTTGGAATATTGATTAATTAAGAATCTAATCATAAACATCTTGGAATATTGATTAATTATGAATCTAATCATAAACATCTTGGAATATTGATTAATTATGAATCTCATCATAAACATCTTGGAATATTGATTAATTAAGAATCTAATCATAAACATCTTGGAATATTGATTAATTAAGAATCTCATCATAAACATCTTGAAATATTGTGTTTAATTATGAGCCTCAGCACACTTGGGTTCTGAAGAAAGAGGGAATGAAAAAAAGAGTTGTTGAAAGAATAACAGGCCTAGCAAGCCGGCATTGGTGTATTTGATTGCTACTACTCAAGAAACATTGAATTATTATATTACTTTCCATTACTGCAGTGTCAAAAAATTGCCGCACGTCTTTGTATGTTTTCAGCTGTCAGTACAAAAATTGTCACTACTGTCTGTATGTAACATTTTTTTTTAGGGCTGTGTTGACAGGTGGTCGTGTGTCTGAGGATTTAGGGCTGTGTTGACAGGGGGTCGTGTGTCTGAGGATTTAGGGCTGTGTTGACAGGGGGTCGTGTGTCTGAGGATTTAGGGCTGTGTTGACAGGGGGTCATGTGTCTGAGGATTTAGGGCTGTGTTGACAGGGGGTCGTGTGTTTGAGGATTTAGGGCTGTGTTGACAGGGGGTCATGTGTCTGAGGATTTAGGGCTGTGTTGACAGGGAATCATGTGTCTGAGGATTTAGGGCTGTGTTGACAGGGGGTCGTGTGTCTGAGGATTTAGGGCTGTGTTGACAGGGGGTCGTGTGTCTGAGGATTAAGGGCTGCATGGCTAATGCTGTCCCCACGAACTGTGCAGGTTAGGATGTTTAATTTTCTACATGACAGAGAAACTCCATTACCTTACTGCCGATGGGAGTTTGGTCAGGATTATAAAAAAAAAAAATTGAACTGTTAGGCGCAAGTCGATTTTTTGAGGTAACTTAGCTATCATATGTATAGGTTTGTTCTGTATCTTAGCACAGAAAAAATTCTTCCGTGGCACAAAACAGGAGGATGCTTTACTGAAATTACATCTTATAATGCCATAGGAGGGTGAAACCTTCGCATATGGTGTCTTTAAATATTAATGCCACTTTAATATTAATTTTTCCTTGCCTCATCTTCCAGAGACCATGCTTATGATCACTGTTCTTTCTGAATCATTGTGGCATTTAATATGGTGAAAGTGCAGGATATTCCAAGAATGTTTCTGTAACATTGAGTTTACAGCTGTGATGATACCCTTTTTAAAAACCCTTTTACCCCATGAAAAAAAAAATCAGGGAAGGAGAAGAAAAAGAAGCAGAAGAAAAAGAAGAAGCAAAAGAAAAAAAAAAAAGAAGCAGAAGAAAAAAAAAAAGAAGCAGAAGAAAAAAAAAAGAAGCAGAAGAAAAAGAAGAAGCAGAAATGTGGAGTCTTGGTCAGTTTTTATAAAAAAAATCAAGGGAGTTGAAACCTAAGATCACTGAGCAGACAGGCAAGCCTTCAAGCTGTTGCATCATCATAGCCACGAAGTCATTAAAATCTAAATAAATGTAAAATTTGAAGGGAAATAATCACAAAATCTAAACGGAGCAGAGAAATAACTGCTTTCCTTCCATTTGATCAAGAAAACGTGGGTTTGGTTGACCCAGCCATAGTGATGTCATAAGTTTATTCATCACAGTGCATTTTTTTAAAATCCAAAATATTATCTCAGATATGCAACCTTCTTCTTCCTCGTTGTTTACCGGCTGTAAGCTCCGGCAGAAAATCCTGGCTGTTCATTCATTTGGACCTTGGCTTTGTGCCAGGGCCTGAGTTTTGCATGTACATCAGTTTTACTGGCTTATTTGTATGCAGTTGGTTGTTTCTTGCGGCTCCTGCAGATGCGCTCCGGCTCCGAAGGAAGTCGCCAGCTTCGAAGGAAGTCCCCGGCTTTGAAGGAAGTCCCCAGCTAGTCGACTTCTGCGACTTGCTTGTTGAGGAGGCAGTGAGTCTGTTCTTATTTTCCCCAAAATTGGGGCCCCGGAATCTACACGGGGCACATATGCAGCCATCACCAAGGTGTTACCTGGGTGTTTTGGCCATGGCCCAAAGACATTGTGCCATTAGAAACCTGTAAAAGTTGGGAAACCGGCTATCTCTGAGTGACAGGGTTAAGATAACAGTTCTTACGAGTATGTTTGTGTGTACATATACATTGCAGACTATAGTTCAGACATTACCTTCATGAATGTACGTACGAGGGGATGTTGGTGAGTAAGTCACAGATGGTTGTGGGATGGCAGGCAAATGTAGTTGGTGGTTTCTAAAGGTGTTATGTGACAGGAACATCGAACTTTATATTTCCGTTCATTAGGTGGCGCTAGGTGTTGCATGCACATTCGCAACACAGAAACAAAATGGTGACTGTACTTACGGAGTGTATCCTCAAAGCAAAACTCGCTGTGTGCAACAGGTTTTGGGGGAACTGATAACACGATGGGACAAGTGCATCAATGTTGGTAGTAATTATGTTGAAAAATAAAGGGACAGTATGTGTAAAAATAAACCGTTTTCAGGTTGTTATCTTTAGTTTTTTTAACAACCATTTGTGACTTACTTATTGACTGCCCCTTGTATAAATATATGTATGTATAGTGAATTTTGTGTGCAGCATAAAGTATTGTACTAGTCATCGTATTATGTCATTCTTAACAAAGTAATTACCTTTAATACTTGTTTTCGGTCTGACAATGAAACCTGACATATTGATAGTCATAGATGATTTTATTATTGTAAATTGTTACATTGCCCAGTGTCACAGAAGAGTACAAGGTACCATTAAAACAGTGTCAGTGGAGCAGTGGTTCTCAAACTGGGTGCCACGGCACCCTGGTATGCCTTGCATTTGCAAGGGTTGCCGCTGCAATGATATAAAAAAAAAGGGTTGACTAAAAATTGTGAAATCATTAAAGAAGGCATGAAGATATTTAAAAGTCAAATCAAACTTGAAGATATTGCTAGCGAGAACATAAAGGTGAGTTTAAATTGATTCAAACGGAGAGCTGAACGAACTATGATTGAGAGGTGAATTCGCTTGTATTCGTTCATGCCATAACATTAAAAGACAATTGAACTTTAAATTTGCACCATTTATTTTCCCCCTCTTCCTAAGTATTTAAACCGCTTTAAGGGTAGCTGTGTCGCGAAATGTTTTTAGCCCGACAAGGGTACCACGGCAAAAAAAGTTTGAGAACCACTGGAGTAGAGGAATACAAGGTATCATTAGAGTTTGTTCACAACGAAGTAGCCAAAGCCCTTGAAGGAAATATTACCAGCCAAGGTGTTAATATAGGAGGATGATAAAGTCCCTAAGGACATCCTCTATGGTCAGTTACAGATGGATAGAGGATGCGGAGGTCTGCTTCTGCTACGATATAAACATGTGTGAGGCATGAATGATACAGGTATTGAGGTGGATTCTTGGGAACATGATGCCATGAACTGCGTTGATAGATGAGGAAAATTAGGAAGGGAATAGGGATAAAGGAAACAGTGACTGCAGATATGTTTGGAGCTGAGCGTCTGAGGAGAAGCCTGCAGTGACTGCAGATAGGTTGAGAGCTGAGCGTCTGAGGAGAGCTGAGCGTCTGAGGAGAGCTGAGCATCTGAGGAGATATGAGCCTCAGCTCAGCTACTTCAAGTCACAAACCAAGAAACTCTAGACAGTATGCTAACAAAGAGATGATGGAAATGGCTTGGCCAAGTCATGAGAATGGATCTTGATATACCTGCCAAAACAGCTCTCACTTGGGAACCAGAGGGAATGAGGCGCCCAAAAACAACATAGAGATGAACAATGGAAAGTGAACTGAGTGCAGCATTTCTGACATGGAAAACTGCACTGAAGATAGCACAGGACAGGAAAGCATAGAAAGTCCTCTCTGAAGCCTCATGTGCCACTAGGCATAAGGAGAACTGTTGATGAAATACATTCTCTGGCAGCAGTGATCCTGAATTTCCATGCTCTAATTGTGGAAGACTTTTCTTAATGCGACTAGTTCTTGCAAGTTACACTCACCATCTCCATGGAGTGATTCCAGTACCTCCCTACAGCACAACAGAGTGGTACCTCCGAATCTGAATGCTTGAGAAATTGAACCGATTGGAATCGGAACAGAATTGTCAGGCAAATTTTGCCTGGAAACTCTAACGCCACTTTGGAAACCGAATGCTGAAGGAAGAAATTGCAGAAGTTTTATCATGAGAGGAAGAGGGAAAGATTGGAAGGATCAGCAGTGCTGAAATCCAAGCAGAAGAATAGGTCATATTTTATGGAAACAAAATCAGTCAGATTGAAAGACAATATTCTTATGAAAATCATAGTGGAAGGGAAGGAGCAAAAGGCAGACAGGGATACAAGTGGGAGGATAACATCTTAGACGGATTAACAGTCTTGGAGTGTATATCCAGGACAAAAGACATAACGAGTTGAAGATTTGTTGCAGCCAACCTATATTGTGGAGA